TGCATATGTCTGATATCGTACATGTCTTAAGCATTAGTAATCAACGCCTCCTTTCTCCCCTTTCTTTCTCCAAAAGGTTCTGGAATATACTTGATTTGAATAGATTTATCCAGATATTTATCTAGCCAAAGAAGTGAAGAAGCATTAGAAGTGAGTGAATGAGTGAATCTGTCAGTTGTGTGCAGCTGTGTGAGAGAGAGAAGTATGTGTGTTTAGTGTAGTGTGCCTGTGAAAGAAGCAAGAGTGTGCAGATGTTAAGGGGAAGTGGGTGAGGTGACATAACGAGAGAATGTTGAAAAGTCAAGGTGAGTGTGTGGCTAGAAGCAACAATAGAAGTTTTCCTCATTTAAGTCCCTCCTTTTCCAAGCATTAATCAATTACTTGGGGGTCTCCCACTCAAATTCCCACTAGTTATATCAAAGCCTGGTTGGAATTAGTTATCAAGGAGCATCAATTGGGTTGTTCATGACTGGTTGCTATTGATTGAGTATTTTGATGTAAAGCGTTCAAGTAAAGAATATTTTGAAATTTTATCGGTGTATAGTTAAGAACTGTGAAGTCATCAGATCAGGAGCCCAACTTATTTGGAGAAGCGTTGAGCATTTTTGATTCATCATGCGGAGATTGGACCAACGACCATAGGTATTGAGAAATTAAATCATAATAATTATAAGACTTGATCTACCCACATTTGATTTTATTTGCTTGGGCAAGATTTCTGGAATATTGTTGGTAGTAATAATATCACACCACCAACAACTCCTGAAGAATTTAGCAAATGAGAAGTGAAGGTTGGGAAGGCAATGCATGTCTTATCGGTGATTATTGAAGACGATGTACATATAGAAGATGTGAAGAGACCAAAAGAGGCTTGGGACATACTAGTAACGTGCTTCTCAAGGACAAATAATGTAAAGCTTCCAAGATTGGAAAATGAATTATTATCGATCAAGCAGCAAGCCACGACGATAAGCCAGTATTTTAGCAAAGTAAAGTCCTATATATTGAGATTTCAAAATTAAATTTAGAAGATAAAATCTCTGAAAAAAGAATAAGACGGTAATTCACAACCTAAGGTCTAAATATAATACTCCCAATTAGGAGAAAGAATGAGAGGAAAGGTGATGAAGTCAACAATTTCATAATTATTAAATTAAATATTATATATAATATTACATGATGTGTGCATAATATATTACATGATAATAATAATATATATGTAAATAACTTAGCTTGTTAGACTTGCAGATTAAGCCTTATAAAAATAAATTTAACTTATGTAATTTAATAGGCCTAATTAAAGTCCTCAACCTGACTTGTATATAAATAGGTTAGATTAAATTTAAAATATGTCAGGTTGTAAACTTCTAATAGGGACCTGGTCTTCTGTTATCCCTGTTTAAATTGTTGATGAATAGGTCTACAATTTTTTTATAATAAATATATAATTAAAATATGAATTAAAGTTGTAAGTCTGGAGCGTCTAGACTAGACGGCCCAGATCTTTTTCTATGGGTGCGCAGAACTGGCATCAACCTGCTTCACACCGAAGCTGAATCCGCTATTGTTTTATGGGGTGAGTTTCCCTCCTCTGTTTTTTCGTTTACTGTAAATTTAAATTTTAAAAAATTATTTAATTTAATTTAATTTAATGGTTCAAATATGTACTGATTTCTTTTTTTCTTCTCAAAATTCAAGTCCTTTTACTATACCATCCATATCAATTCCATTTTTCTTTCTCCACCGTTGGCGTATCCACGTTAGAGGAAATGACAAAGCTGCCGCCGCTCCCACCGCAAGCCTATTATTGATATTCAAAATATTTTATTAAAATATTAGAACCCATCTAATATATTTTCTCAACAGATTCTTCGAATTTCATAGATCAATTTACACGCTCCTCCCATTTTTTCCCTCATCAATTTTTATCTTTGAAATTATTTGCAAATTCTTTTTATATATACGATGATTAATATTTATTTTGTAATTTACAAGTCAAACTTTGAAATTTATAATTAAACCGATGTGTGAAGAAACACTAGATATAATTTGTAAATTTCGAAGTTTGACTCGTAAATTTTAAGGAATAACTTGTTAATCACCAAACAAGTAATTTTGTCCTTACAATAATTTTGCAAATGACACCCTGGTCCTAAAGAATTTTTCTGCAATCTATCAAATTCGCTGGACTAAATTATATATCAAAATCTTCTTTAGCTGTCACGAAATTTTCATGAGATATCTCGAGGGGGACGAATTGAAGCTGTCAGAGCTCAGAAGGCTAGCTAAACTGTTATATTCTGACGCCCGCAGTCTCCCGGCGAAACTCCCAATGACATCTCCGATATTCTCAAGCCTTCTCCCATATAAAGCTTCCCTAATTATCATCTGTTATTCATGTATCCCGTTTTATGCCCAAATTGATTCTCACTTTCTCAGTACCAGCACTCACACACATGCATTAATTTTGAAGGACGTCAAGTTTAATGTTCACTTAGGCCAATTATGCAAAACTGAATGTTGAAAGTCAAATCTGTCTGCAGGCCATAATTTTAGCCGCGACAGATACAACAACAGTAACACTAACATGGGCTGTATCTTTACTGATGAACAACCGTGAAGTCCTGAAGAAGTCGGTGCATGAATTAGACAGGCAGGTTGGGAGAGAAAGGTTAGTAGTGGAATCAGACCTGAAGAACATGCCTTATCTGCAAGCCATCCTCAAGGAAACCATGCGGCTCTACCCAGCTGGACCACTGATTGTGGTGCACGAGTCTGTGGAAGATTGCACCGTGGCTGGCTACCACATCCCCTCTGGCACGCGTCTCTTGACCAACCTTTCAAAGATCCATCGAGACCCACGAGATTATGAAGCTCCTTTGGTGTTTCGGCCAGAGAGATTCCTGACGGCCCACAAGAACGTGGACTTGAGAGGGCAGCATTTTGAATTGATTCCTTTTGGAGCGGGCAGAAGACTGTGCCCTGGAGTTTCATTTGCTCTCCACATGACGCAGCTGTCACTTCCAGTCTGTTGCATGGCTTTGACATTGCAACTTGCAACCCCTCATAATGAAGCAGTGGACATGCAAGGACAAGTTGGGCTCACTAGTCACTAACATGAAAGCCTCCCCACTCCATGTCCTTCTTACCCCACTCCTTTCCCCTCCTCTCTATGTATAAATAAAGGTCATGTGCGGCTTTTAATTGTGTACGTACGTATTTGTTGTTTTGAGGATGTCTGACTGGGCACGTTTTTTTTTTTTTTAAATTTCGTTCACGTTATGTTATGTTATATATATATATATATATATATGAGATGCCTTGATCATCGTAAACTTTTGAATTCTATATTAAAAAAAGCCATCTATAGTTCAATTAAAAAAATCTGCATTTAACTATTTGACAGCAATTCTATTTTAGTATCATTAGATCTTTTGACTAATCAGGACTATTATAGTCAAACTCTTGAATTAACTTTTTAAGTTTATTGTTTTATATTTTTTACTTATAAAATTATATCAACTCACTCACTCAGAGCTTGATTTTGGTGCTCATCATCCCATGAGTAATTTGGATTGTCCAGATTGTTAACTTTTATAAAATTTAAATAAAAAAAATAAATTTTATAAAATATGGACTGTCCAAATTAAATTTGATTAAACTATTTATAAAAAAATAATCTCAAATTATATTTTATACATATGAATTATTCAAAAAAAGTTAGCTTTTAGTAGCATCTAATTTTTAAATTTTTCTATTTTTTAAAATTTTTTAATAATATGTTTAAAACCGTCCGGCTTTTGAAAATTGCTCCTGTTTCAAATTCAACTTCGGTTTCTAGATTAATAGTGGCTTAACTTTTGTCCAATCTATCTTAATCATAAAAATAATTTTTTTGGTCCAAATCGAATAATGAACAACAACTCTAGTTAATAATTATAGATGCAAATATAAATATTTTTGAATCTACTTATATCTAATTTAATCAAGATTAACTTATATTTGAAAATTTATAAAATTATAATTTATATTTTTCTTATATTTATTTTTATATATACATTTAGTATTATTTTTATTTAATATTATTATAATTTTATATTTATATATACATTTAATATTATTGTAATTTTATTTTTATGATTTTTAAATGGTTAGGGCAATATTATTCCTCTAAAAATATTTAAGAAGTAAAATTATACCTTAACTTATGAAAAGTGAATCTCACTAACTAAGTAACGAATGTTTAAATGACGGAGGTAATATTATTTTGATTAGATTAGTTTAGAAGCAATATTATTATAATGAATAGTTTAGAGGTAATATTATTCCTCCAAAAATAATTTAAAGATAAAATTATATCTTAATCCTGTATATATAAAAAATATCGTCCATAAATTATTTTAACTTATCTACATGAACACCCGACGACTAAACAAAAGGACGAGATTTTACTGTTCACATTTTATATTCCCTAAATTAAAGGATACAAAATCTCTGAGGATCTGTGACATATAATGGAATTTATTAAAATAAAAAATTATAAAATAATTTTAATAAATTTTATATTTTTAATCTGATCTAGATTTAATTTAAAAATTTTAATTTAATATCAAAATTGTTATAATTAAATATTTTAAAATATTCAAATGCACTATGTATAATCCAAATATTATATCTAAACTACTGGACTGTGTAAGGTTTATATAGATAATTAATATATATCAATTATAAAAATTTTAATATTAAATTAGATCCTCTAAATTAAATCTAAATCAAATAAAAATTTATTTGAATTATTTTATAATGCTTATAATTTTTTATTTTAATAAATTAATAAAAAATAATATTTTTAACCTGAATCGTCCAAATTAAAATCTGAACAATCCAGAATGAGCAGGAAAATCGCCCCCAACATATAATGGACAGTTTGTCCTCATTTGTGATAAAAAAGAATTAAAATAAAATTATCCTTCGTTGATGTTTTCTGCACTTTGATTTTTCGAATGATTTATTCGATAATTTGTTAATAAAATAAAAGCCTTGATCGCCCAGCATACCGCCTCCCAGCAGTCTCTTTTCCTCAGCGAAGAGCCGTGACCGGCACCAGGCTCAATCACCATGGACCTGAACCTGATAATCTCTGGCCAATCAACCATTCCGTTTAGCATCCTTGCATTCTTACTCTTTCTACTCTATGCTATTTTCTCCAAAACAAGAAGCCGCAGAAATAGAGCTACGCCTGGAAAGCTACCACCGGAAGCTGGCGGTGCATGGCCTGTGATCGGGCACCTCCACCTCTTAGGTGGCACAGAACCGCCGCACATCGCCTTAGGCAAGATGGCCGACAAATATGGACCGATCTTCTCCCTAAGGCTCGGGGTTCACCCTACCTTGGTCGTGAGCAGTTGGGAGATTGCCAAGGAATGCTTCACCGTCAACGACAGAGCCTTCGCCGGCCGTCCCAAAATCTTAGCCTTTGAAATCATGGGCTACAACTTCGGCATGTTCGGCACCAGTCCCTACGGATCCTACTGGCGTCACGTGCGCAAGATCGCCATCCTCGAGGTCCTCTCCAACCATCGCCTGGAGATGCTCAAACATGTGAGAGAGTCCGAAATCAAGTCAGCCATGAAAGATGTCTACGATCGCTGGATATATTTGAACAACAGTGATGATGGTGAGAATTCGCAATCAGCGCCCCTTTCGTGTGAGATGAAGAAGTTGTTTGGAGACATAACCTTCAGTGTCGTGCTTAGAATGGTCGCCGGAAAACGTTTAGATGAGGTTGAAGGGAACGCAGCGGCACGGAAAGGTCTGAGGGAGTTCTTCAGACTTTCTGGAGAATTCGTGATATCAGATGCGTTGCCGTACTTGAGGTGGCTGGATTTGGGCGGGCAAGAGAAGGCCATGCAGAAGACAGCGAGAGAGTTGGACCAGTTTGTTCAGTTTTGGGTGGATGAACACAGACGCAACAGGGACGACTCTGTTGCGGGGCAAGCCAAGGCTGGGCGCGGTGACTTCATGGACGTGCTTCTTTCCATCGTGGATGAAGCTGAAGTGATCGACGGCCACGATGCTAATACTATCATTAAAGCTACAAGCCTGGTCAGTCCTTCTCCTTCACGCATATCTCCAATCCTTTTTTATTTATTTCCTCTTGTTAAAAATATATGAAATATTTTTAATTTAATCTCACTTCAAATTAATTAATTAATTATTTTTAAATCAGTATCATTTTTTTATATTTATTTTTATTTAAGCTGCTTCACTAAGAAATATGCATGATGATTTGTTTACTAAGACACTGAAAAAACACATTATTTATATATTAATTAATATATAAAAAATATCTTACATTTTTTATTGCTTTGATCCAAGTTAATACTATTATTAATGCTACTATTTCTTTTCTCATCTTATTAAAGCTCTCTAGGTCGATGAGTGCATATGTAACTGGGGTGAAGAAAGAGAAAAATTATTCTCCTATACATGAAATTTTAGGTATAATTGAGTTTGGTCATAATTTTAGATATAGTGAGTGGATAAATAAAGGCTTTAAATTTCTCTGCAAGTGACGTGAGTGGGATAATTAAAATGAGTCCAAATTAAAAACGAGCGCACCAAGTAGTTTCCTTTTTACTTCGAAAGGCATTTCAAACATATGGCATCACAAATATAGCCTGGTACGGCAAATCAATTAATTTTTTTTTCCCCACACGCCACTTTTTCGCTCCACCGTTGGGTATCCAAGATACCCTACTCCCTTCCTGTGCATCTATATATAATCTATAAATAAAATAAAAGAGGGAGCATAAGGCATTTTATTGATTTCTTATGACAATTTTACCTGTTTACCTTATTCAATGTTGGTGCAATTAAAAATTTTGTTGAGCTTCTCTCCCGTTCTTTCATGGATAGCAGAAAAATTGAAAATTTATTTTTTAGGCATATTTATAAATTATTTTCGGCACATTTCATCAAAATTAAAGAAAAATTTAAATCTCATAATCCTGTTTAAAAATTTAACAACTTTTTAAATTTTTTCTTATTAAATATGCATATTTTAATAATGCATTTTCTCCTGTTAAATATTCATGTAAAATAAAAAGGAAAATTTATAAAGAAAATTTAATGACATGACTTATAAATAGGAATAAAAAAATTAATCACTTTCCATCTTATAAATAAAACCAAAATAAACGTTAAGTTTTTAAATAAAATACTGAACTTTAATATCTTTTCATTTAGATAAAATATGTTAACAATGACTTAATCAGTGTGTATTTACTTGTTCTCATAGCTCACATGACAAAACACACATATCAAGGAGGATAAAAATTTATAGGGAAAATCATAGCCAAGGACTTCTAGAACATTTTATTTATAGAAAAAGATCAAAAGATTTTCAATTCACTCTACAGGATTAAAAAATCAAAATGTAATTAAATTGTAATATGAAAAGATAAAACTATCCCTCATTTTTTTGAAAGAAAATTCCCCCATTGTCACTGTCCGCCTAGAATCAAACTATCTGTCAGAGCTCTGGCATCAAGGTGGCCAAGAGGGTTTGAACCCATATCCCCTTAGCCACGAAAAAGATAATTAATTTTAATTATATAATACAAATTTTTATATATATTTTTAACTTTGTTTTTACTTTCCATTCTAACACTTATTAGAAACTTAAGTTATTAATGAAACTTGTTAAAAAGTTAATTTAATATGCATTAATTTTTATAAGTGTTTACTTATTTTTATTATCAAGAATGATAAATTCCCATTGATAATTTAACAAATAACTATTTCTAAAATGATGAGTCTCGTTACTAGCTTTGAAATTTTTTTTGATAGTTTGACAAACAAATCTCCATTGTTAATTTAACGAGTAATTATTTGTAAAATGACTAGTCTTATTACTAATTTTAAAAATTTTCTTAATAATTTGACAAAATATGTCTTCATCAATAATTTAATAGGTAACCATTTTTCAAATAAAAAATCCTGTTACTAAATTTAAAAATTTAACAAACAAGTCCAGTTTGGTAATTTAATAAGTAACTATTTGTGAAATGACAAATCCTGTTATTAACTTTAAAAACTTCTCTTAATAATTTGATAAGTAAATTTTAGCAGAAAAAATAAGTTTATGTACGCTGTTAACATGTAAAATTCTCAAAGCTAATTTAACAAGTCTTTATTAAATTTCTTTAACAAGTCCTCATTAATAATTTAATAAGTAACTATTTGTGAAATGATAAATTCTAATACTAGCTTTGGAAATTTCTCTTAATAATTTGATAAGTAAATTTTAATAAAATAACAAGTTAACATAAGCTTTTGACATGTAAAATTTTAGTAATAAAAATACATAAACATTTATAAAAATTACTCCATATTAAATTTCTTTAACAAGTCTCCATTGATAATTTAGTAAGAAATCATTTGTTAAATGATAAGTTTTTTACTAACTTTAAAAATTTCTCTTGACAATTTGACAAAATTAATAATTTAATAAATAACTATTTGTAAAATAACAAGTTTTATCATTGACTTTGAAAATTTCTCTTAATAATTTTATAAGTAAATTTTAAAAAAATAATAAATTCATATAAGCTTTTGACATTGAAGCATTTGGTACTAAAAATAAATAAATATTTATAAAAATTACACATATTAAATTTCTTTAACAAGTTCTCGTTATTAATTTAACAAGTAACTATTTGTAAAATGATAAGTCTCATTATTAACTTTAAAAATTTTCTTAATAATTTGACAAGTAAATTTTAATTAAATAATAAGTTCATATAAGATTTTGACATATAAGATTTTTGTAATAAAAAATTTAAATATCTATAAAAATATGTGCATATTAAATTTTTTCACAAGTTCTATTAATAATTTAATAAGTAACTACTGGTGAAATGACAAGAAACTATTAAGCCCTTAACAAGTATTGGCATGAAAAATGAAAAAAAATAAAATTTATATAAATATTTGTATTATATAATTTAAAAATTATTAATATAGTGGCTAACTATCTTTGTTGTAGCTAGAGAATGTGGGTTTAAACCTCCCTTGGCCACCTTAAAAAAATTTACCAAGGCTCTGATGACTAGTAGTAGTGTGGGGGATTTTTTTTAAAAAAAGAGGGTTGGTTTTGTATTTTTTACACTAAAATTTCATTATATTTTGGTCTCTTAGTCTTGCAGAGTGAACTCAAAATCCTTTGGTCCTTTTTTGTAAACAAAATGCTTCAAAGGTTCTTCACTGTGATTTTCCCAAATTTATAAAAATGTACGAATTATTTTTTTACTTTTGTTCCCCGTTTAATATCACAACATTTAAAACTTTAGCTTCTTTCAAAAAAAAATTTAGAGGGGCATTATTAAAACTAGATCATTATTATATCTAAAAAGTTTGATACAGGACAAATATTTAAAGACAAAATAAAAATCAAATCATAACAATTAAAGGGAATTAAGTCTAGTAGAATGAGCTAACCTCTTACAACTCAACAAACTATGGTTTAAATTCTTACTAACAAAGGTGCTCGTCTAGCGCATATTATAACCTTATCTCCAACAAAATTATTTTCAACAGGAGAATAATGTGAACAATAAAGAACAAATAAATACAAATATAAAAAGTATAAATGGGACACGTGGCAGTCTCGGTCAAATAGCAACATTCGATACATGAATTGTGACTTTTGAAGGCTAGCTCCCAAGTCCCAACACAAGACACAGGGATATGGAAAGTTTACGTGCTCATGCTGCTTGGTTCTACTGAGGTCAATTGTTTAAAAATTGAAAGTTGAACGAGGAAACTTGCAGGCCCTGATTCTAGGTGCGACGGACACAACAACAGCGACATTAACTTGGGCTGTATCTTTACTCCTGAACAATCGCCAAGTTCTGAAGAAGGCAGTGCATGAACTAGACACGCAGGTTGGGAGACAAAGGTTGGTAGTAGAATCAGACTTGAAGAACCTTCCTTATCTGCAATCCATCCTCAAGGAAACCATGCGTCTCTACCCAGCCGCACCACTGAGTGTGCCTCACGAGTCTCTGGAAGATTGCACTGTGGCTGGCTACCATGTCCCCTCTGGCACGCGTCTCTTGACCAACCTTTCAAAGCTCCTTCGAGACCCACGAGTTTATGAAGATCCATTGGAGTTTTGGCCAGAGAGATTCCTCACTACCCACGAGGGTCTGGACCTAAGAGGACAGCATTTTGAACTGATTCCCTTTGGAGCTGGTCGAAGAATCTGTCCTGGAATCTCATTTTCTCTGTTAATGATGCAACTCACGCTTGCTAATCTGCTGCATGGCTTTGATATTGCAACCCCTGATAATCAACCAGTTGACATGCGAGAACAAGTTGGGCTAACCAGCATGAAAGCCTCACCACTCCATGTCCTTATTACTCCTCGTCTTTCCCATAATCTCTATGCTTAAAAGTAGACAAGGAGTATCGAGCTATATATAATCAACACACCTACATATTAATTAGCTGCTTATTTCAGTGTTGAAGTAATAATGCACTGTGGAATGTTATTGTTAACAAGTGATCACCTCTCTTGTACGTCTCTCTCTTCAAACATAAAAATGCCAGGGATTGAATGACTGTAATATATTTATGTAAGTAATGCTTTGATTGTGAGGATTGTTTTAAATTTTTTGAGGAAGATGTGTCTTATAATTTTCAAGTATCAATGAAATTTTATAACTGTAATTGAGACATTCCTTGTGGAAATAGACTCAAGCTACTTACTAATGCACCTAAAATTAACACTTGCAAATGCACGAGACCAAAAGCAACATAACGACGAGTCAAGGTCATCCCACAAGGAGTTATCACAAAATAATACTAAGCACTCAATAAATCACATTCATTCATGTTAAGCGGGTAATTTTGATAGTGGTTTTGGAACAAATCAAAATAAAATTTTAAAGTTCACAATTAAGAGTCAATCCACAAATGAACTTAAGGAAATCAATTGGAGAGTGCTATAAAAATCTCCTAATTGTTTCATAACCCTCTCTTTACCATTTAACTATCGTTAAATTTAGCTTTGATAGCCTAGGAGTCTAAAATGATCAAGAGTATTTTTTATTTATTACTAGAGATCCTACTTAACCCAATTAAAGTAAATTATTACCTTAATTAATTAATTGCATTAGAGACCAGAACTCATGAACATTACCTAGGTCCATTAGATACATTTATGGTCTAATGGAAAAATTAACTAAAATAATCCTAGGCAATTAGTTCCTAAATGTTCAAATCTCACCCAATGGTAGTCAAACATTAAACAATAACAAGACAACTCAAGAAAATCAAATCATCATTTCTAAATAACAAAATAGTAAATCAAAAATTATTTACATAAACAGGTTCATAGTCCTCTGAATAAGAGGAATTTAGTTACACATAGCATAATAAAATATTATAATACAAATACAAGTTTAAAATTCATTAGCATAAGGATGAGTAGAAGAAAAGTTGATAAATTACTATTGTAGATGCATACTCTTCAATCCCTCTTCAATCCAAAGCCTTAAAAATTCAAAGCTTACTCTCCTAGGGTTGCCTCTGGTTTCAATAGTCGAAAGATAGCTGTTCTCTCTAAAAAAAAATTGAATTGGAATAGGGTTTTTCACTTGGAAAATAAAACTCAATGTTTTGGATTTTTGATGGGTGTTGTGGCACTTCCATTGTAGTGCCATGACACCGAAGAGCAATTCTAAGTATGTTACAAGCTGTGCCTATCCCACATCTAAAGATTAAAAAATAGAACATAAATATATATATATATATATATATATACATGGGTTACCTTCATGCCATTGAATGATTATAGGAAGGATAACATTTGACTTGACTCTATCGATTAGGAATATGATGGTACAACCATCTTCCTTTAGTATTAAGACCCTGGAACTTGAATAGTTCGTGACTCTATACCAGATCCTGTAAATCAAAACTACATGGATAAATCCTAGTTTTATATGAAATCATATAGTTTTACATTTAATTTTAAAACATCCATAATGTTTTCATATATGAGACTGAAAGTCTTGTTTAGATGACTATTGAAATAGATTGGTCCTGCGTGCGGGCCAACTTTTATAGTACCTAACAATGAGTTAAAAAATAACTAATGTTAGGTATTTCTAAGGCAAAGGAGACAACAGACGTTTAATCTTTTCCTAACTAGTGGTTTAATGCCAACTTGGACACATCCAATGTGTGAAAATTTATACTTTTTCAATGGTGTTTAATGGACTCTTTAGATAGAAGAAAAAAATCTTTATTTCAAGGGTTCACAGGAATTACATCTTCAATAAATATGATAATATAATCAGATTTGGAAAAGAATTTTCCTTCTAATTTATAAAGGACATTTTTATCAACTTCTGAAATTTTTTAGTCATTAATATCTTAGTTAATTTATGAAAAATTGATTCTTCTTTAAAAATGTTGTTTGAAGAGGATGATCCTCTTTTGTGAAGGGAAGAGGAGCAATAGATAAGAGTTTGATGGGAAAAGGAAAAGTTTCTAGACACCTTTGTAGAAGATCTCCTCTTTTATGACATCATAACCTTCAAGTTTCATAGAAATGTAAAGAATGAATATTAGTTAGGATTTAAAAATCAAATCAAATGTCAAGATATTAATATTATTCTTGGCACTTCATCTAGCCAATGATTTCAAAATGATTCCTACTTGCAAAATATTTATATTTGCAAGTTTCTACTAAAGTCTGGACTTACACCCTGTTTGTCAAGAAATTGCCATAACCTTGCAATAATCATGAATAATTTGTAGATATTCTAACCATAAGGTCACTTTAAAAGTGATGCATACTATCAGACTGTGTGATGATATAATATTAATATGTCAACATAAAACTTGATATAGTAAATCTTAGCTCACATTTTATCTATACATTCCTACTTTCCCTTTTGGCTTTGATACCAAATGGGAGGATAGTACCCAAAAGGGGGAGAGGGAAAATAAGAATAAGGAAGAGAAGTAAGATGCAGACGGTATATATATAACTTTAAAAATATCTAACTAAATAACTTAAGCTATTTTGATAAAATATACTATTCTTAAGGTATATTATAAATGTATAAAGATTGGGAAGTATTTAAACTATTTTAATGGAGTATACTATCCTTAAGTATACTTAATATAAGAAATATCTAATAATGACATGGTATCTAAACTATTGTGCCTTTGCATCAGAGAATCTTCCAAAAATTGATTATATTTTTAAATCCATCATCTCTTCTCTAGCTTCCTTGCTTAAGCTTTTCATTCCCACCTATCCAAAATCAATATTCATGAGTGAAATATTTTGCTCACTTCAATTTTAAATAATTTCCTTAAAAATTTACATTAAATGCATATGATGCACTTGATTAATTTATTTTTATAAAAGCAAGAAAATGCTTTTTTTTAATTGATAACTCTCCGAATATAACAAAAAACACCTCAATTATAACATAAAATGGGGAGTCATCACTTGTTGTATCCAAATCTGCTTAGGCGCTGACAGATGCACGTCGTTGAGCTATTAATATTATTACTTCTAACGTGGCTTGCACCAAAAGGCGAAGTGGCTGAACATGACTATATGACTATACGGCCACCAGCATTTATTTTTAATTTCATACCGTATGAATGATAATAATTAATCATGTGATCAGGGAAAAGATTTCATGTAATTTAGAGACTAATCACATATGCTTCTACGTTTTCAAATATAAAAAACTACCATGCATCTCTTTGTCTTTTTAAGCAAAACTATACAAATTTTAAGAAATATTTATCACATTTTTTTTCAAATTACTCCTCACAGTGTTAATATTTATTTTTACTATGCAATTTTGTTTGATTAATTACAGAGATAATTTAATTTCAAATATAATTATTATATTTAATCAATTTTCGTGAGTTAATTATATATATATATATATATATATTTTAGCGATAACGGGTAATTTTTCGGCCGCATGTTAATTTGTCATGATCGGGCAGGCAAAACCGGACCATGAAATCAGCGTAAATGCCAAGAGACATGAAAGTGCTTGTCGAAGGCATGCTGAGGTGATGTTGAATTGTCCTTGCACATATTCACATACCACCACGGCGAAGGCCATCGTGACTCGCAAAATATCACATTATTAATTATTCGGTTTCCCTCCACTGGTAATTGAACCATATAGACTGTAGTGGATGAGCTTATTATTAATAAAGATTTGTGCCATGAAAAAGAGATTAATGGGCTACTAGCTACATATCATAGGCCAAGGAAAATCCGAGTAGGCTAAAGAAAGAAGTAAAAAATGAAGATAAATAGAGATGGAAAAAAGGATTTGGGTGTGAAGAATTTTGTGAAGAAGTCTCTCTTGCTTGTCTCTTCTTTCCTCTGGCCATTGTCATCATGACTCTGGAGTCTCTTCTATTCTATAATTTCTATTCCTTCCATAACTTCAACAAAGTTAAAATAGTTTTTTAATTTAAAATTTATTGACATTAGAGTTTTTGAGAATTTTAATGGAATTATGACATTTTGAGAAATTATAATTATTTATATAATTTAAAAAAATTTTATTATTATTTTTTAAACTATTTACAGAGACAGATCCAAGAGGCAACATTAATTTTTTTATTTTTATTTTTTCAGAAAATGCTCCCTTACATGTATGTGTGTGTATCAGATCCATGAAGACAAAAACTGGGCTCCCCGGGGAATATTGATGATCGTAGGTTAATGCTTGGCTTATTTTCGAAAAGATATTATTTTTTAAAATAAAAAATGTTTTCAAAAAGATAGTATTTTGTTCGATAATGCATGTGGTGCTGTAGTCAGTCTTTGATCTACTGCCTGTTTGGACATCCAAAAAAATCAATTATGAAAGTCTAAACCATGGTTTTGTTAGAAAAAAACCCAAAAACCCTCAAAAATCGATTACCACATTGTGTACCTTTAATTGCGTTTTTTAAAAAAGCTCATGTCACTAGCTTCACTAAATTGATTCTCTACGTTCAGTTTTAATAGCGTGTCAAAATTTTTTTAGATACCATATATGTGTGTGTGTGTGTATCCCTATCTGACTCATTGTCATCTCACTATGCGAATGCCTTCTTTTTTTGTTTTTTTTTTTTTGTTTTTATTTAAAACCTCTAATACCTCCTGCACAACATTACTTTCTTCTTGCAAAATGTGTGCGAACTCTAGGCTCCAGCTATAACTTTAACTAATAGAATATATTTATATTAAATAATAAATATTAAATAGATATTATATATATAGATTTATTTTTTACATACATTAAATTATTAACATTAATATAATTTAAATTTATATAATTAATCAGGTATATCAGTTAAATAGTATATTTTATTTGTTAAATAAAATTGAACAAATTTAATAATATATAGAGCACTACTTTATCAATATTTAAATTTTGAAAAGTAAAAATATCTTTTACGGTAATTTATACATTTAAAATTAATTCTGACTAAATTATTCAATATCTTTAATTTTATTATAATTAATTTTTTAAAAAATAATATTTACATAAATTATGTTATAATATAATTAATTATAATTAAAAGTAATTATATTAATTAATTATTTTAATAATTAATACTCAATTAAAATTTAAATAGGTTATGGGTTAAAAAAAATCTATCTTTGAAAATCCACCATAGAGAGGAACCCACTTCGTGACCTTCGGAGAATTCATTGTCCCCACACCCAACCCCCTCCCCCCCCCAACCCCTTCCAAAAAAAAAAAAAAAGCATGATCGAGTCATTATCTTCCTAAGACAAAAATGACTATGTATTTGATCCGGAGCCACCAAGCGTAATTGATTTTTGATGATAAATGCCACGTCATAAGCGACAAGCCATTAACAAGCAACTACCCTATCAACTCTGGTTAAGTCAACAAACTATGGTTGACGAATTCCAAATGGAGTCAAGCTGAGTATGCATAATAATGCCACAACTTAAGTTCACTCGAAAGCCAGGTCATCCGTAAGATACCCAATCATTTCCATCCATCTGGACCTGAAACGATGATGATTTTGAGGGCTGAAACAGTCCGTTCCTGGAGCGCCACCACCCTTTTTGTTAAGTGACGTAGGTTCTGGACCTGGAGCAGTTTCGTTCCAAGGTTTTGAAAAATCAGCCACACACTCCTTTTAATTTTTATTTATTTATTTATTTCATTATATCTTGCAACACAACAACCAGCAAATTAGTAATTTAGTATCACTTGCAAGATGCCCACACACAGCACTAGAAACCACATTACCACGGCCATGGACATGATAATCCGACCAAACGTACCTTGTGGCATCGTCGGATTGCTCTTTCTCTACCTTCTTTTCTCCATAACAAGAAGGCACCGTAGGAATAAAACAACGACAAGAGAAGCACCACCAGAAGCTGGCGGCGCGTGGCCTGTGATTGGGCACCTCCACCTCTTGGGTGGGCCAGATCCACCGCACAAAACATTAGGCAACATGGCCGACAAATACGGACCAATATTCACCATAAGGCTTGGGGTTAACCCAACTTTGATTGTGAGCAGTTGGGAGGTCGCCAAGGAATGCTTCACTGTGAACGACAGAACCTTTGCAAGCCGTCCAAAATTCGTAGCCGGCGAAGTCATGGGCTACAATTTCAGCATGCTCGCAGCCAGTCACTACGGATCCTACTGGCGTAACGTGCGCAAGATCCTAACACTGGAGCTCCTCTCCAACCATCGCCTCCAGATGCTCAAACATCTGAGAGAATCCGAGGTGAAGTCGGCCATGAAAGATACGTACGATCGTTGGTTAGAGTTGAACACCAAAACTGGTCGGAATTTGCAAGCGGTGCCTCCCCTGTCATGTGAGATGAAGAAATGGTTTGGAGATATAACCTTAAACGTTGTGTACAGAATGGTAGTAGGAACTCGTTTTGCCGAGACTGAAGGCAAAGAAACGATTCGGAAAACACTAAGGGACCTATTCGATCTAAGCGGAGCATTCTTGATATCAGACGCGTTGCCGTACTTGAGGTGGCTGGATTTGGGTGGGCAAGAGAAGGCCATGAGGAAGACAGCGAAAGAGTTGGACCAGTTTGTTCAGTTTTGGGTGGATGAACACAGACGAAGCAGGGACGACTCTGGTCCTGGACAAGGCAAGGCCAAGCACGGCAATTTCATGGACGTCCTTCTTTCCAACGCTCATGAAGCTGAGATGATTGATGGCCCGGATTCTAATACTATGATTAAAGCCACAAGCCTAGTCAGTCCTTCAAATATATCATCTCTAATCCTTTTTAATATATATTCAATTTTTAACTTTCTAAATAATTTCGATGTTCTTAGATAGGTCATATGAACGAGAATTCATTAATAAAATTTAAAAATTAGGTTTCCATATCCTTAATAAAATATTATTTTTCGTATCTCAAATATCAATGCCACATCTGGATGCTGGGTGCATGTGTGGCTGTTCTACTTCTACCTACATATAGTATATAAAGCAGACATGAATAGCAGGTTGAAGGATAGTTTTGCAAATTGAATTAGAGATTTGCACTTTGCAGGTCCTAATTTTAGCGGCAACGGACACAACAACAGCGACGTTAACTTGGGCCCTGTCTTTACTGATGAACAACCGTGACATCCTGAAGAAGGCAGTTCATGAAGTAGACACTCAAGTTGGAGGAGAAAGGTTGGCATCAGAATCAGACATAAAGAACCTACCATATCTACAAGCCATCCTCAAGGAAACCTTGCGCTTGTACCCAGCCGCGCCACTCGACGTGATGCACAAGTCCGTGGACGATTGCACAGTGGCAGGGTACCACATACCCACCGGCACCCATCTCTTGACCAACCTCTCAAAAATCCATCGAGACCCCCGTGTTTATGAAGACCCATTGGAGTTCAGGCCAGAGAGATTCCTGAGTAGGCACAAAGATGTGGACTTGAGGGGCAAGCATTTTGAACTGATTCCCTTTGGCGCGGGCAGAAGAATGTGCCCTGGAATCTCCTTTGCTCTCCTGATGATGCAACTCACACTCGCCAATCTGCTGCAGGGCTTCCATATTGAAACCCCTGATAACCAACCGGTGGATATGAGCGAACAGGTCGGTCTGACCAACATCAAAGCCTCACCTCTCCGAGTCCTTCTCACCCCACGTCTCTCCCCTCATCTCTACGCATAACGCACAAAAACCGGAACGAGATTCTGTCCTGTTGATTTTCCTCCTGGTTTTTGCTGGTTAATGTCAAATGTGATATTATAATAAATATATTAAATAAATAAGTCCAAAAAATTATTTAAGCTATTAACATAATTTCTAGAGCACCGGGAGAGAAGCAGGAGGAGTGACGGGGAGAGAAGCTGCTTCCGGAAAAACTATCGACCATCTTGGCTATTAATCATGTACGTGTTTTTAACTTCTGGATAAACATCTCCTGAGGCTCTGCTTTTTATATTTGTAGCTTTTTTTATATATAACCTCGGACTTAAAATACGCTTTTTCATTCCCCCCCCCCCAAATGTTTCTTGATTTATATTGTTGTTGTTAAAATATATTGTCATTTACACACGATTTAGTTTAGTTGTCCGCTTGCATAATAATAAATCAATATTTACAACATTACTGTTATAGGCAACGGTTGATTGAGTGGACAAATAATTGTTAATTTATATACAAGATAATTTTGTTTTGAAATATAAAAATAAATGAAGACGTGCAGATGTGGATCATCATAATTTTTTAGTTAGTTGCATCCAAAGTTTTATCATCAAGCAAATTATTGAATTTATTTTATTTTAAATAAAGTGATTACATATTTAATTTGCTGTATATCTTTTTCTATGATTGCATTGTTCTTGCAAATCACATTCAAGTCAAGAGATCGAGTTGAAACCACCAGAACAAACTAGATTGTGGAGAACGTTGCCTATGATGAGGGCAGGGAGTGTAAAAATATTGAGGAGAGTTATCTTTACATTCCCTACAATAAAATTAAATATTATGAAATCCATTAATAACTGAATGTATTAATTTGTTAATAAATCTTGTAATATTTAATTGTGTCGATAAACACTTTTTATAATTTTCCTAAAATATAATTAGTTGTCCCACAAGTACGTGGAACGGTGGAACTGGAAGGCGGGAGCGTAGAGGTCACAGAACGAGGAAACCATCGCGGATGAAAGATTAATTAAAAGAAGAATGACCAATGAACGAATATAGAACATGGCGTCATGGCCAATGAATGAAAGGGTTCAGGAGTATTTCGATTCCTACTGTTCTTTCCCCTTGACTTTTCTTCGGATTCTGTTTCTGAAATTGCTTGCGGGTTATGTTCTTTTCGTTCTTTTATCGTTTAACTGTCGCTGTTTGATTGGAAAAACTTTCTTAGAGCGTTGGAGAGCTTGAAATTAGATTAAATTTATATGTGTCCTTTTAAGTGATTTAAGGAGTAAAGGTAATTGAAAATATAAATTCCCTCGTATACATGTATTCAGTGTTTTTGTATTATAAAAATTATGAAATGTATCTTACATGTGTAGATGTAATTTTGATATTTTTTAGTGAGTGAAACAAGTAAAATATATATTGTAAATTATGAGAATGATTGATAATTCTTTAAATAAAAATTGTGAAGCATACATACGTGAATGAAATTGAACATGTTATTTAAAAATTATGATTTCTTGACATGTAGAATTACATTATAGTGTATGATTGAAATTGTGAAATATTATGACATGATTAAGAATTGAAATTGGTGGGATTTACCCTAGTTGAGATATTACTATATTATAAGTTTACATGGCATAAACAGCACTTAATAACTCCTAGTGTTGGATAGCTATAGCACCGACTTTAATAGGAAGTTGGTGTGGTTCCGGCTTAGCCAATGGTACTCACTTTGAGAGTAGGTATGTGTGACTGGCAATAATTATGACACTTTGCAGGTATTCAATTAACAAAAAAGTCCATGGTCCAATTTAGAAAGGTGATTTTTGGCTAAGTTATCCTTTCAACATTGGAGAGCTTAAACTAATCTAATTCATGAATTGATCTTGTTATGAATTATAGTCCATGGACTCAGTCAGAAGGAATAATGAGAAAAATTAATTGATTATACATATTTAAAAGTTAATATTGCAAATTTTTTGTTGCTTATCAATACAAATTTTGTCGATAAAAATACCACTACTAACACAGTAGGCCAACGCCACCTCATCACCACGTCCTTACCACGTCATCTACATGTCATATATTAACTTCGAATAACTTTAAATATGCCTTAGCTAAGTTTGAATTTATAATCTCACACCTTTGTGAGCCTTTATGTCCAATCTTATTATTAGTTGAGTTGAAGGAGATCTTTAATATTTAGTTGATAATTTTTTTATAGAATTAATTAATAAATAAAATATATAATATTTAACCAGCCATATATATACATCAATAAATATATAATTTGAATATATTTATTTATTTAACATTCTTTTTACTCATCAGTAAAATAAATTAATTTTTATACTATATTATATTTTTTAAAAATATTTTTGATAGAAAATTTAATATTAAAATGAAAAAATATTTTATTATCACTATATATTATGTTATAATTTTTATAATATATAATATTTATATTTTAAAATTATATTTAAATTTTTATTTTAAAATAAAAATAATTAAGTATGTTACTATGTTATAAAAAATAATTAAATATATAATTTAAATTATTATTATACTTATTAATATCTAAATAATTTAAAATAATAAGTTATCATTATTAAATTATTTATTTATAGCATAACAATAAATTATTACATATATTTTATAAATCATACAATAAAATTTAAAACAATTTGCAATAGAATTTGTGATAGAATTATGATAGAAAGATTCGTGATAGAATTTTTCATTATAAATGCTGTCACAAAATGAGAATAACGTATCTTGAAAATTGGTGATGGACTTTTCCATCAAAAAATTCTATGACTAAATTATTTCTAATAGTTTAGCAATGTAATAGTGATAAAAAATTTTGCAACAAAACATTCCGTTGCTAGATCCTATTAGTAAAATTATTTTTGATAGTTTAGTGAAATAACAATTGATTTTTTTAGTGAAAAAGTGTTCCATCGCTAAATTCTATTGGTAAATTAGTAATGGATTTATAACTGATTAGCAACGATAATTTATTCAATCACTAATTCATTGTTTTTGGTAGTTGTGGCACGAGGAAGAATCCAGAGGCTTAAAGCTAAATTACACCTTATATAGCCTCCTTTTATTTTTGCATAGTAGGATATATATATATATATATATCTATTGCCAATTTATAAATATATTATGCATCTATAATTGTAATTTGTTTTATGACGATGGTTGTTGTCTAGCTAGCCTTTTTGTGAAGCAAACTCATGAGAGTTTGTATTTGAGCTAATAAAATTATCGTAGATTGATTATTGTACCAGGATATTGTTGAATGTGAAATGTTTGGCCATTTTTGTTAATATGAGTCTTATGAACTTGTAACATGGCTAGTATATTTGTGATTGGCACTTATGTATGATTTTGATGATGAGATTCGTTATTAAATTGTGGTTTAAAATGTGCCATTTGACTCCCAATAATTTTTTGGTTGAATTGTTGAGTTGGGAAGTCAGCTGCAGTGTGAATGTTTGGTTCTGTGAAATAACTAATTTGTCCTTGTATTGTAGTATAATCTCCATTAACAAGTTATATCTTGCTTTTGTTTACTAATAATTATGATATAATGTATTTTTTTTAGTTCAGTGGTTTTGAAAATTGTTTTAATGGATCCCATTTTCAAAAATTTTTTCCCTTATTTTTGATAACTGTGGTTAAACATATTCTATCATGATAATAATTAATTAGAAACATTAGCCTTAATTATCATGATAATAAGATTTAATTAATGGGTTAATTGTTGTAGGTATTTATTCATGGTGTGAACAACAAATACCAGGCGTATCAAAATGATGAGTCTCAATTGATAACAAAAGGGTCCCGAGCTCTCTTACCATAATTTGCTAGGATGTAAAAGATACACAAGACTTTGATAGAACTAATGTTTGATTTTTATTGAAATATGAAAAGTTACAAGTCTAGATTGAAAGTAAAACTAATTGATAAAATTAAAGGCTAAAGGTATAAAAATGCAAGTCTTTGATTAAGTGTTGACTATTTTTTTATCTTCGTTGTCTATTTATATGTCTGAGTGGTGGTAGCCTCTCCCTTAAAACTTGGGATGTTTTGCCAAAGAACCAAGGATCTCATGAAATTCATGGCACGGTTTTTATTCCGTGTTTTTCATTTTTGATAATCAACCCATCTCACCAAGATACTTGAGCATGATGTATGTAGATTTCAAAATTACTCAAGATTGTATTTTCATGTGCCAACAGTCTAATGTTTGTGATTGGCGAGATTTCAATATGTTTATTTTATCGTGACCTTTATTGAGTTTTAGGGTTAATCTCTTTTTTCATATTAGACCTGACTCTTCAGTTATTTGCTCAATTAGCCCTATAGCTTATTTGAGTGACATGTCATATTTTAACTCAAATAGTGTTACAAAGAGGGAGGGGAAAGAGAGGGTGAAGTGAGAGGTCTAAAAGGTCAAACATCATTTTGGTCAATTTACCAAAAAAAAAATCTTATTTACAATCTAGTTTTTAGAAACTGCATAATAATATCTGTGTTTGGTGAGATTTTAAAATAATTAAAATTAGAATTAGAATGCTTGTAATGGAAAAAACAAAAATTTGTGCAAGAAATAGTAGCACCCGGCAAAGCCAATTGCTTTGGAAGGGGATATTGAAATAAAAAAGATATTGAAAAATTATGGTTGGAATCAGCTGGTGGAGCCAAACCAGATGTCTGCCATATTCCACTATATGTGGGTCCCATTCTATGACTATATACGTGAACCTGATACGACCATGCACGTGTCTCGTCATGGACCGATGCTAATGGCCACGTCAAAAATATTAGACCACTGACAAATAACCACAAACTTTGAATTATTCGTCAGAAATAATTGATGGTGCGGAATTGTCACATCTTCCAGAATTAATCCTTCTCTTCTCATTGTATCTTATATAAAATAAAATATATAAAAAAATCGCTCTGAAATAATATAGACTCACTATTTCCTTTTTTAAAGAATCAATTGTTTTTTAAATTTTTTATGCTTGTTTTTTATTTTGTAAACCGTAACTACTAATATTTAAAAATTGTTTTTATATTATATTTTTAAGATATCATATTAACATATTTTATATTTATATGATTTTTAAATTATCTTCTATTTTTTATAAGTAATAAATTAAAAAATAAAATAAGGAGTTTATGTTTTTAGTATGCACGAAGGTAAAAAAATGTTGTAAAAAAATAACAAATTTTTTTTATTATTCAAAAGTATTTTTTAATTGGAGGTGATCTTATTCAAGACATAGTTGAATACTAAGTATGATCATCTCTCTAGCAAGAATTTAAAGCTATGTTGTTGAGAATTAACTTCTTCTATTATACCCAACTCATATTTATAAAAAAATTATTATTAAAATAACTTATCTCGTATGGATAATAAATCTTACCGGTGGCCTTTTTTTCAAGATGTAATGTTTTTTCACATTTATGGATGTTCATAATTTTTTCACTTTGTTTAAAAAAAATTAAAGCATACCTAATAGCAACTATTAACATTTAATAAAAATTTTATATTATATTTTTATAATAGCATGTTAACATATTTTTTATAAGGTCTACTCTATTATTTTTATTCAATTATTATAATCATATTTTATGCGATTTAAGACAAGTGGATTTTTCTAAAAAAATAAAATTAAAACAATTATAAGATAAAATGATAGAAAATCTATTTAAATTATGTAAATAACAGATTGATCTTACAAAATGGCATAATTTTTGTGGAGTCACATGAAATTTTTTGGTCATTAGAGAAATAAAAGAAATGATCAAATTGCCCTCAAATAAAATAAAAATTCTTAGAGTTATGAATGACTATTGAATTCCTGTGAATTTATAAATAAAATTGTTAATATAGGAATAAAAGTTGTGAATAAAAAGTTGTAAATTTTCAACACCTGATGCATATCAGGACTTGCATATGCGGAGTTGCAAATGACTATTGAATTATTGTAAATTTATAAACAAAAGTTATAAATAAAAAGTTATAAATTTTTAACACATGATGTATATCAAGACTTATAAATGTAGAGTTGCAAACGAATATTGAATTGATACAAATTTAAAAATAAAATTTATTAATATATGAATAAAAGTTGTGAATGAAAAATTATAAATTTTTAACACTTAATACATATCAGGACTTGCAGATTAGGACTTACAAATAACTATTAAATTATTGCAAACTTAGAAATAAAAGTTGTTAATATATAAATAAAAATTGTGAATGGAAAGTTGCAAATTTTTTTAATATGAATAAAGGGTAAAAGTATCATTTTCTATAATTTCCTGACCACAGAAATATTTCTTGAGACTTTAAAAAAATTATATCATTTTGTGAGATTAATATATCATTTATATAATTTAAATAATTTTTTCTATCATTTTTCTCAATTATAATGTGTCATGACCTATTAAAAATCGACAATACACTGAATACAATATGGAACTCACATTTTATCAAATCCAAAATTCACATAAGGATATATATTCACATGAAGGAATGTCTAAACACAAATAGAAAAGTAAGTAAATTTTCCTAACCATATGCATCGTACGGGCCATTTTTTAGTTTTATCTAAAGTTAGAACTATAGTTAATCATTCAGGTCAAAAGAAAAAAAAAAAAAAAGCTAAAGTTAATCATACCCTTGAGAGTTCTCTCGCTTTTTCATACTATGTGATTTGTTTATTCTTGTCGTCCTGCTGTACAATTTTCTCCCAGTAAAGAAGCTTCCTTTTCACTAAAAAAAAAAAAAATTCATAATTGACTCTGCAGGTTAAGTCAGCAACGACAGCTGACAAGTTAAATTCCTATTGGAGTCTTGAGGATTTTTTTCTTTCATTTTTTTTTAACATAAGATGTCGAAACCAAAAAAGACGCCAGAAAAAGTAAGATCCACAAGTACTAAGTTATCGTGCAGGGCAAGGTACTGAAAACTGAATCGACTATTGAATCGATCAAGGTTGGAGGTCAGGGGTCAAGGATTCAACCGCAAATCAATTCGAATTCAAATCGGACATAATAAAATAATATGATTTAAATAAAAATAAATTCTCTAAGACTTAATATCTTATATAATATCATATACAAGTCCATGATAATCATCAAAACATCATTAAAAACACAACATTTAAAATATTCATCTTTACAATCTTTTAATCATCAAAAAGTCTAAAGCTAATAATAATCAACACCAAAATCCTCATTAATTTCATTCAAATCTGCGGGAGTAAGGATTGAAACATTAAGAGATGATTGAGAGAAACCAGAACCACTTCCAACATCATTATTCAAATATGGATGCTCTGAAATATTCATATCTTCTTCACCTATTGATGACAAAAATTAACATTAATCATTGTGTAAAAAATAATCATATATTAATATAGATAGACATGTTAGTAAGTATGAACCTTCATTATTTCTCTCAGAAGCTGATGAAGCTACAACATTCTCATTATGCATAGCACTTTCCAAATTAATGACATCATCAGCATCAAACTCTGGAGCTGGCTCTTGTTCCTCTTCAGCAATCCAAAAGTCCAATTTGTCAATAGATTCATAATCAATTAGATCAAAACTTGTCTTTTTCTTCAATTGGCTCCTTTAATGAGATCAAAACAATCAAATATAAGTATATATCTACCATGAGATAGTAATAAAATTTTTATTTATGAAAAACATTCATAACTTTTATTTTTATTACCTATTCTTCAATCGTAAATTGTAGTTTGTAAAGACTAAATCATTTAGTCTTTAATGTTCCAATCTATTTCTTCTTTTGGTATGGATGTGTTTAAACAAGCTCCAATTTTTCTCACAACCAGAAGAGGAAGAAGTTTGACTAAGAATACGCATTGTAAGATTTTGCAACTCTGGAACAGAACTTCCATAAAAAGACCACCATTCATCTACAAATAAAAGACAATTAGTTATATGTTATATGATAAATAAAATTACCATGATCATATTAAATATTAACACTTACAAGGGTCTAGCTTCTGTGCTGCTCTATGACATGAAGTTTTATCAAAAGATTCTTTACGGTCACGATACAAGCTCAACTGCTTCATCATCACAATATAATCAACATCTTCATTTTCAGTTGACTCAAACACTGAAAGCATAGCATCCATTAACCTTCTTTTGTGAACAAAGTCATCATCATACAAGAAGGCAAGGTTCAACAAATATGCTGCTGCATAAAGATTAGTCTTCAAGTGCTTATCCCATCGGGCTTGGATTATATCTGTGTAAGGCTTGTATTGGTCTTTCTTATTGGTGAAGACTGTCTTAATTGCTTTTTTTGCCCTTTGCATGCCTTCATAAACATAAGGCAAAGAAGGCTTCTCATCTGAATCAACAATTCTCAACAATTTTATAAGAGGAGACACAATCTTCACAACTTCAAGACATTCATTCCAAAATTGATTATCTAATATGATGGCACTAACAATTATTCCAGCTTCGGTCCTTAATAATTTGTGATTCACAAAATGCTTATCAGTGATTAAAGCTTGTAAGTCATGCTTGTGCATATATATGCTATGCAATGTGATAAATGTTGTAGCAAACCTTGTCGCACCAGGACGCACAATTTCTTTCCAACCCTTTCTTTTCCTAAGCCATGACAGGAAGACCATATAATTGTAAACAAACACAGTGATCTTTGATGCCTTTGTTGCAAGTTGTGACACATGAGACATACTTGCAATGTCTTTCAAAGTAAGATTCAAGCAATGAGCAGCACAAGGTGACCAATAAATACTTTTCTATTTCTCTTTAATCAACTTGCCACATGCTACATAATTAGCAGCATTATCAGTCACCACATGTACAATATTTTTTGGACTAACCCACTCAATCACTTCAGAAAACAATGAGAATAAAGTCTTGGCATCTTTTACTAAATCAGAAGCATCAACAGATTTCACAAATACTATGCCATGTGTAGAATAGACAAGAAAATTTATCAAAGTTCGTTGCCTCACATCTGTCCAACCATCAACCATAAGTGTACATCCATAAGTTTTCCATTTAGATCGATGACTCTCAATAAGTAGCTGACATTCTTTTTTCCAATCATTCAACAAGTTAACTCTAAATTCATAAGCATTAGGACCCTTAAACCCAGGCCCAATTGAAGCAATAGCATCCACAGCTTTTTGAAAGAATGGGCAATCTAATGCATTAAATGGAATGCAATTGATGATAGCCCATTCAGCAATGGCCATTTTTGCACTGTGTTGTGCTTCTTTAGTTGCAAATGCACTCTTAATACCTGGTTGGGAACCCGGAGTTGTCCTAGAGGCAAAATAATTTTCAACTGGCATAGTAGGAGGTTTTTTTTACTGGCACTACTCTCAGGGATTGACTTAGATGGAGTAGGTGCATTGGGTTCATTAGCATTAGACACATGTTCCTCCATGTCTGCTTATACATCGACAAGCTTTCTCTTTTTCCCACTTTTTAATGATTCTTGCATCTGATAACGAACATCAAAAGGAACTTTACTACAAGAAACTACATTTCCACTTATACCAGCAAGATGATGCTTCAATCTATTTATTCCACCTCCTTTATAACTCAATGCACAATAAAGACATGTATACACATTTTTGTTGCCTTCTTTTCTTAAAGCAACATGTGCCCATGCAGGATCTTTTTTCCCGTGAACTGATGGAGTTCCAGATGTGGAGTCATTATGGCTAGCAAGGGTGGGATTATTAGAATTGGGAGTAGGATTGTTGGAATTTGAGGTAGGATTCTCAGTTCCATCATTACTAAAATTACTTCCAATATTCATATTATAACTTTAATCTGCAAGCTATGATAATTTCAACATAAACAAACATCTAATGTAAAAAAAAACCAAAGCAGCCGGAGCAATCATAGCAGCCAGAATTCAGAATACAGTACACAAATAAGAGTAACATAAAGCTCGAATTAATTTTCAACAACCAGAGCAAATCAGCATACATATAGAAACGTTTATTGATTGACCACTCTCTCTGAAGGCACAACTCTAAAAAAAAAGCAAAATCAATTTAGTGATCATGTACTCAGCATACCCCTTCCCTTTTCCACTATGCTCCCTGCATATCTTCCTAAGGAATGCATATATGTAATCAACAGCTATTTTGTATGTATGTATGCTGAATCATGTTTATTGCAACTTCTAACTACTGTCTTTTTGCAAGATCCAAAGAGCTGAAGAAGACAACTGCAATAGAATGCTACTATAGGAATACTATATATATTTTAAGCAGTTGCAATTATGTAAACGTTAAAATGATAAAGAAAAGTGAAAACAAAGACCCACACAAGGGAAATTTCAGTTGAACTTGAAATTTAAAAGAGCCAAGAGAAAATCATTCAACACAAATCCGTGTAATGCATAATAAATTCAAACAATAAACATCAGAACTTGGTGATTGCATCCAAAATCTGTGGCTCGTTTATTGAGAAAACCAGCAAATCGCAAGAGATTTTGTCGCATAAAATGTTATAATTACCTGAGTATTAGCAGAGATGGCTTCTCAGTTCTCACAGACCGAAGGAGGCGGATCCGAGCACAAACTGCGATGCCATATCAGTGGATGAAAAGAAAATCAGATAGACACAGAGACAAGCAAATAAGCTGATGAACATCCTGGGTATTCTTACGAAAGGTTAGGGCTGATGAGACGAGATTCAGCCAGAGATGAGACGGTATTTACCTGTTTAGCATCCAGATTCAGCCAGAGATGAGACGAGATGAGGAAAAACTGGTGAACTTTGGACTGAGACAACGTGAACTGCGTTCGACCTTCGGATTCTTATCAGCTATGGCTTCGCCTTTTGCCGCGAGATTGAGACATAGAGGCAGTGAGGCACAGTCGCACAGAGCCACAGACTTAGGAGTTAGGATGGCCGCCTGATTTGTTTTTTTTAATAGGATGACCCCAAAAACGACGTCGTTTTGGGGGTTAGTTACTTCAAAAAATAATAACCGGCCAACCCACCCGAACCGGGGGGTTGGGCGGTTTTACCCGGGTTAAAACTGGGTGACCCGATTTAACCGGGGTCACATGAGGCCACTTTGGCCATATGAACCGGACCGGATTGGTCTCCGGTTTGCCGAGTCACCGGTCGAATCGGCCGGTCCGGTCCGGTTTTTAATACCATGGTGCAGGTTACAAAACTGCAAATCATGACATCCAAAAGGTTTCTTTATATGTCTGGTTCAAATAAATTTACAGAAATAAACCATATAATTCAAAACATGAACTTCAGATAATTTTCACAAAAAAATTTACAAATAGGCAGAATTAACTTTTCAAAGAATTTATGGGAATAATAGCGATGATAGAATATTCTACAAATATCTGCCAAAAAAAAGAATATGCATGTAAGATATAAATTGTAAAAAATTATATTCTGACATATTTTTATTATTTTAATTAATATTATGTACAATATAAAAAACAAAAGGTGAGTACATATCTACTCCCTATATATTATTTATAAGACACTTTCTAATAATAATTTTTGATTTAAAATATAGAATATTTTGTAATAATTAAATCACTTTTTTAATTTTACCTCTACTTAATTAGTGTAAAGGTATTTAATATAGTGTATTATTATTTAAAGTTAAAGGTAAACATTAAATGAAAGTACTTCTCACTTTTTTGTAATATAAAAAAATTAAATTTTTAATATGCGTGAAATAATTGAAAATGTTCTATAATAAAGATTAAAATGGAATAGGTCATTACTTAATTTCTAAAGTAATTGATAACATAATATTATGAACTTCTGTAATATAGATGTTAGATATTACTCCTTTCGTCTCAAATTATAGAACACTTTTAAATAAAATCTCACATATTAATAAATTTTATTAAATATACTTAACAACTTTATCTTTTTAAAATAAAAATATAAACTCCTAAAATACCTATCATGTAATATATTTTGGGACGAAAAAACTTCTTTAAATATATCTTATAATTTAAGACGAAGGTAGTACATCCTTTTTATGCATTTCCAAGTAGATAATATTGTTGAATTAAACATTTGGGAGGTGGTTTTTTACTTTTCAAAAGTCAAATGTTGTTTGGTTTTCAATATTTTTTAAAAAATTCATTTAAAAAGTCATTCTTAGATATTGTTGAATGTGCTTTTGGCCAACTTAAAATAATAAAACTTTTGAAAGGTAAATTTAAAAAGTAGGATATTATTTAACTATACTATTCCAGGTTTAATCTATTATTATTTTATTTAAAAAATAGTTAATTCATTAAAAATATAATTATCATTTCAATAATAATATTTAGGTATCAAGTTTTTAACATTATAAATTGAGTAATTAATTATGTTAATTTTTGACATTAATGTATAATAAAAATTATAAATCTTTATCATATTTTTTAAAATTATCAATTAAAAAAGTACAAATAATTAGAGATTAAATTTTTAACATTATAGATTAAAATTATTTAAATTTTTATCATATTTTTTAAATATTTTAAATATATTATATTTGTATAATAAAAATTACAAATCGTCGTAAATCAATATTTTTTTAATTGTATATTTAAAAGCATATTTATTATTATAATTTAAATAACTTTTAGTCTATTAAATTAACTTTTAAAAAAATTTATTTAAACATAAATTTTATTTTAACAACTGACTGTTATTAAATAAATTTTTAATAAATTGAAAATCGAACACCCTCTACATCCTTTTTATGCGTTTCTGCGTAAGTAACATGGATGAATTAAACGCACACATGACACACCCACTGACACACAAAATTCCCGTCCTTGTTTACGCGCGAGAGTGTGTGCGTGAAGTGTTGTTGCGTTTCGTTCCCCTCAAGTTAACTCTACGACAAGTCCACAACAGAAGTACCAAAGAGCTTTCTTGTATTTTCAATATTTCCATTGGAATATTGATTACATATAACATATTATTGGAGGCCAATACGTGCTGCATCTATCCTTGAACTCCGGCCATCGCCTTTATCTCAAGTCCATGCGCACTTGCGGACAAATGCACAAATGGTGGCCCCCCACTCTCCCTCGACGTGGATCCGTCTCTGTATGCATGTGATCCCAATCATCATTCCAAACCTTGGCCAAAGAGGATATTGATGTTTGGGACGAAACTGGAATTAGCCATCAACTAGCAGATCACTAATCAGCATGAGCTGTACAGCGGCATGGAAGTTCTTCGGTTAGCTGTGAGTTTGATCCTGTTTGTGATCTCGAGCAATTAATATTTATCCCTTTGATTAAAAAAAACCAGTGTAAGGTAAATTAATTTAAAAATTAGTTTTTAAAAAATGATATTTTAATAATTAAAAAATAATAACATTAGGTCTGAAAAGGTAATAACATAAGTATAACGAGTATTGTTTTTTTTTTAAAAAGATTATGTTAAGCGAGTTGACATGCTTTTTCCGTAAATATTATCTTCCTATCTCATCTCAATTATTACTAAATAATTACTCTCTCTCTCTTTCACACACACACACACACACATCAAGCTAAGAACAGAAGAAAACAGTCCACTTGCTTATACTTCTTATAGAGAAATTACCAATAACAATGTCTTTTATTCTTAGAATAAAGAGGACATACTGTTATTTTTTTAATTATTACCAATTTAGATGATTAATGGAGTTTTTTAAGGAAAAAACTACCATGCAAATTGGATTTTTTTTTTTGTTATTCAAGATATTCCCACGGCCTGTAGTTTCTGGAGGATTTAATTATAAACTAGACTATCTTCAGAACATTTTTTTTTTTTAACAAACGCTTGGTTTTGGAAAGTTTAAAATTTTGGTTTAAATTCAATCCAGACGTGCAAAATATCAAGAGTAGCATAGGCAAGAGATCGTCAAATTTACATGCCCTTACTGTACTTTTCCCCGTTCACCATCCGCTACAGTAGCCACCCACACGCCACGTCTTTTGTATTTTGCTTTTTCTTACCCCATGATTGGTGAATTAGTAGCCGCCCTCCTCTCTTTCTGCTTCACCCATCAGTTGCAAGATACCCCCATACACACAACCAGATACCACACTGCACCGCCAGCATGGACTTGACAATCTCCGGGCAAGCAACCATTCCTTCTACCATCTTCGCATCGTTTCTCTTTCTCTACTTTTTTTTCTCCATATCAAGAAGCCACCGCAGAAGCAAAACTACGGTTAGGAAACCACCACCGGAAGCTGGCGGTGCGTGGCCTGTGATTGGGCACCTCCATCTCTTAGTAGGGCCAGAGCCACCGCACATCACCTTAGGCAACATGGCCGACAAATACGGACCAATATTCAACGTAAGGCTTGGCGTTCGGCCGACCTTGATTGTGAGCACTTGGGAGATTGCCAAGGAATGTTTCACTGTAAACGACAGAGCCTTTGCTAGTCGTCCCAAACTCGTAGCCTTCCAAGTCTTGACCTACAATCGCCGGATGCTCGAAGCCAGTCCCTACGGATCCTACTGGCGTCACGTGCGCAAGATCGTTACGCTGGAAGTCCTCTCCAACCATCGACTGGAGATGCTTAAACACGTGAGAGAATCCGAGGTGAAGTCAGCCATGAAAGTGACGCTTGATCGTTGGTTCGAGTCGAACACTAAAACTGGTCAGAATTTGCAATCAGTGCCTCCTCTGTCATGTGAGATGAAGCAATGGTTTGGAGACATAACCTTAAACGTTGTGTATAGAATGGTCGTTGGAAAACGTTTTGCCGAAACAGAAGGGAAAGAAAGGATTCGCAAAACGTTGAGGGAAATATTCGATCTAAGCGGAGCGTTCTTGATATCAGACGCGTTGCCGTATTTGAGTTGGCTGGATTTGGGTGAGCAAGAGAAGGCCATGAAGAAGACAGCAAAAGAGTTGGACCAATATATTCAATTTTGGGTGGATGAAGACAAACGCAAGAGGGACTCCGATTCAGGGCAAGACAAGGCTAAGCACGGAGACGTCATGGATGTTCTTCTTTCCATCGCTGATGAAGCTGAACTGATTGATGATGGCCCTGATTCTAATACTATGATTAAAGCTACAAACCTGGTCAGTCCTCCACGTATATTATTTATAATGCTTCTTTTATTTATATTCGATTTTTAACTTTCTAAAATATTCTCGATGTTCTCGTATGTTATGAACGAGGATTACACCCTTTCCTTAAATATATATATATATATATATATATCATTTTCCATATCTCATTCTCATATATTGATGTCACGTGTGGATGCATACTGCATGTTGTGTATCTGTTCTCTGTGTGTGTTGTGTGTGTGTGTGTAGTATATATAAGCAAACATGAATAGCATCTTGAAGGATAATTTGCGAAGTTAAACTGGAAATTTGCATTTTGCAGGTCCTAATTGCAGCAGCAACGGACTCAACGACAGCGACGCTAACTTGGGCCCTGTCTTTACTGATGAACAACCGTGAAATCCTGAAGAAGGCAGCTCATGAAGTAGACACTCAAGTTGGGGGAGAAAGGTTCACAGTGGCAGGGTACCACATACCCTCTGGCACGCATCTCTTGACCAACCTCTCAAAAATCCATCGAGACCCGCGTGTTCATGAAGACCCATTGGAGTTCAGGCCAGAGAGATTCCTGAGTAGCCACAAAGATGTGGACTTGAGGGGCAAGCATTTCGAACTGATTCCCTTTGGCGCGGGCAGAAGAATGTGCCCTGGAATCTCGTTTGCTCTCCTGATGATGCAACTCACACTCGCCAACTTGCTGCAGGGCTTCCATATTGAAACCCCTGATAACCAACCGATGGATTTGAGCGAACAGGTCGGTCTGACCAACATCAAAGCCTCACCTCTCCGAGTCCTTCTCACCCCACGTCTCTATGCATAAGGGGGGAAAACGAGCTAGCTAGGCTTTTAGCATGCATGTGTTTTTGTTTTTTTGAAGAAGAAGATCTAATGTGATCCGAAGCTTTTCATAACTCAGCTTATGTTTTTATCAGCCTGTGCTTGTTTTACTATTATATTTGCAAAGCACATATATTCAAGTCAAGAAAGAAGAAACCACCGGTTCCGGAGGGAATGAATCCGTTAAGAGTTTTGATGGGGGGAAGATCCTGTGTGAAATGGGAAGTGTGGTCAATGCTAACTGTCCGAAGCTTGAGGAGTGATTGACAAGCTTGAAGGGGGTGAAGCAACATGCCCTTATGCGCCGAACTGAAAACAAAGCGTTTAAACTCATTTATTTTTTAAAATTTTTTTCTATACAGGATTTATATAGCAAGATCAAATTCAATCTAACATTGGAACATGAGGGTACTATTGAAGGCAGCGAGAGGGAAAGATATGTGGATGAATGAAGAATCTAACGAGGTTTGCTCCCACGAATGGTCCATCCGGAATAATGGAATGGCGCTATCATGATCATGAGTCCCTGAGGTGGCCCTTGGTAGATGGTAGTTGATCCTCATTCAATATGCATGGTATCACTCCGCACCACAACCCCATGGTCGTCATTGTATTACCCTCTGCACCGCCTGCGTCTTTCTGCTTTGACGCCTGCGAGGGTGTGAGCTCATACAAACAACTTTCTGTCTTGATTGCCGCAACCAAAAGTTCGAGAGTGGCTCGCCACTTTTACTTACTTCCTTTTTCTGTCCTGAATTTGATTGCTATATAATATATTTTTCTGATCGTTTCTTCTTTTTTCTAATACATCCTTAATCCTTATCCATGATGATGGTCCCCAGTGCCGGGGGCGCGCTATTACTGAGCTCCACATTCATCACCAAAAAAACCAACAACAACAATTATATTCCACACCAATTATCAGTTCTTGTTTTTCCTTGATTCAATTATTTAACATCGTGCACGGTCTGATTCATCGACTCTCCAGGTAATCAGCCGCACTATATATATAAGAATAATTTGGACGTTGACTGATTGACCCCCCAAAAAAAAAATGAAAGGTGTGCATGGTAGGAATATGCTCTCTACAGTGTACTTGGTCTTTATTATTGTCTTATTGACAAAATATGTTACACACATGCCGGCTGCCAAATTAGCAACCCACGACCATCTGCTCGGACAACTGCTCCCAATCCTTCATCTGGACCCGGAGCTTCTCATGACGACAGCGTTTTCGTGTCGGCCATTATACACACTCATAATAGTATTATTAACTGTGTATCAATACTCCCACGTATTTTGATAGTGCTCGAATACCATTAAAAGTCAATATAATTTAAACAAATTTAAATTATTATATCTTTCATATGGCAATATATGATTCAATTTTGAATTAAATTTTTTAGTATATGTGGCACCCGTTGTATGACTATAAATTGGGATCTTAATAAACAACAATGCCAGCTGCTACGTCACAAATAATAGACCACTAACAAGTAACTCCTCAATTAACCCTGGTTAAGTAAACTAACTAGGGTCGATGAATTTCCAATGGAGCCTTCAAGTCTGTGCAGTTATGTAACGATCAAACGTCTCGCGAAACGCAAGTCAAACCCGGGGCGCCCAAACATTTCCATCCATCTGCTGCACTTTCCGATCTGCCGGTAGGAGATTTCACCTGTGATCTGGACCTCGAAGGACGATGTTGAGGGGCGAAACTGTCGGTTCGAGGAGCGCGAGGCACAGAGTCACCGTGTCCGCGGCATCCAATAAAGTTCTTGTGGCCGTGAAGGCAGAGAGGGTGATCTCCAAGACCGCATTGACCTGGGCACTCACTCATGTCGTTCGCTCTAGTGATTGCATCACGCTGCTCGCTGTATACTGTGGCGAGAGAACTGGTATACTCAGAAATCTCTTTCGAAATTCAGAATTCATTTGTTGTCGTTCTCCCAGCTGTTCAATCGAATTTAGTGATCAAAATTCATAGGGTTTGCCTCCTGATTTTGTTTCAAATTTGAATAAACAAGGCTTTTTATAGTTGTATGGTTGTGGAGAAAGCTTCGGATAACTACATTGTTTATTACAGGCAGAAGATTCTGGCAGTTTTCAAGATGGCAGGAGATTGTACGAACGGACGCAGGGAAAAGTTGCCGGAGAGGATTCATGAAATCTCCGAGTCTTGTGCACAGATGGTGCTTCAGTTGCACAATCATACTGAGGTAACTTAGTAATTTACCGAAACAAAAATTTTACGTTCTGTATGTGTGATAGGGTTTGGACTACTCTATTAAGGTATCTACCACAACCAACCACAATTCTTTCAGATGGAAACCTCGATTAGGCATTTGCTTAAATTAAATGTTACACCATATAAGTGATCGTCAAAGTTAGGTACGTTTAAGGCGGAAACAATAAAACAACGTGGCTTTTGCCTCGCGAAAACGGATATTTAATATTTTTTCTTTCCCTTTTTTTTGTCTGAGGGAAAATTATTTTTAAAAAGTTATTAGAATCAATATTTTTTTTGTGAAAATTTGTGTTTAGGCTGAATACCTAAAAGCGACCCATTAATCATTGTATCCAATTTGCAAATGCCACATCCTATCTTCCAAATTTTTGGCGTGAAAAATTTATTGTGGAAAATTATATATTTGTGATTAATTAGGCTGAATACCTGGAAAGACCTAATAATCATAAAACTATATTCTATTTGCAACGTCGCGTCCTCTCCATTTATTATTTATGTTTGGACGAAGTTGGAGAGCAAATACTGGTCTTTCTGATCAGCGCGACGTGTTAGCGAAGACTTCTGATCTGCTCCAGGCTGTATTGGCTTGTTCAATCGGTTTTCGCATGTGCTTCGTGATAATTGTTAAAAACGACCGTTCAATTATTGCACATGCCTAGAATTACGGTAAACTTCGAAGTAAATGATAGGAAATTTCAATAAATCATGATATATGTACGTATGTAAGTATTTCCTCTTATATCTTTATTATGGAACATTCTCAATTGTTTCACATATGTTAAGAAAAATTAATTTTTTTATATCATAAAAAGGTGAGAAATATTTTTATTTTTATCTTTGATTTTAAATAATAATACAGCTATGTTACATGCGTTTACCCTAATCAAGAAGAAAAAAAAATTGAAAAAACTAGTTTAATTAATACAAAATATCTTATATTTTGAATTAAAAATTACTTCTAGAAGGTATTTTTTAAATAGAACTAAAGGGAGTATAATGTAAGGAGGCATTTAATTGGGAGATCAGCAATATCAGTAGATTTACACGCACATTTTCGATCAAAATTACAAACTTCAATTTTAAATTTTAAATTACAATTGCGTTTTTTTTTATCACTAGTCTTCAATGAGGGAATTATTTTTGGTTGTCAAAAAATTAGTAATAACTATTGAGTGTTCATCGTTAATTATCATAAGCTTCATATCCCAATATTCTCTCTGACAGCCATAATTTGACATGTGATCGATCAAGTATATTGTTTAAGCAATATTTCTAAGATTGATATATCCTGTTATATGTCTTATGAAGTCCTGATCTGCTACACTTTATAATTAATTAAATAATTTTAGTCTTATCTTAAAAAGTAAAAGAGATATTAATTATGTGTCTTACCTACTATAATGATATTAATTATGATATCTATTAGGGGTAGAATTGAAAAAATGTTATGGTTTTATGATTTTTAAATTAAATAAATTTTTTTATTAATATGTAAAATTAGAGCCGGTAATTCAGGCACAAGGTTATTCGAGTCGTGCTCAATTTGGGTTAGTTTATTCGAATCAAGTTTAAAATATCTTGTTCTTTTTAAAAAATTTATATAGTCAAGCTTGGCACTAACACTTTTGGGCTATCCTAAAAAATATTTTTTCTTTATTTTCAATCAATTTTTATTTTTAAATAATTTTGTTAAGCATAAAATATTATTTTAAATTTAAAATAATAAAATAATAACTTATCAACTTTACAGGTAAGTGGTTCTGTTACTGTTTTGTTATATTATGTATAATTTATTTATGAATATTTTCTTTACTTATAAATTAATATCTTATAAATTATTTTATAATTATTTTTACTTTAAAATTAATTATCTTATTTTATAAAAAATATTGAATATAATTCTTTGGATAGGCAAATGATGTATAGAACTCAAATTTTTTTTTAAAAAAATTAAGTCTTAAAATATAAAAAATATTAAAATATATTTTAAATATTATTTTGAGATATTTCATTAATCAAACATAATAAAAATAGGAAAATATAAATATTTTTAATTTTTTAAAAATAACTATAGTAATACACTAAAATATATGGTATTTTAATATAAAATGATATAAAACTTAAAAAATTAATTAATATTTATTTAGTTATATATATTATTTTTAAAAAATTATTTTTATTTAGGTATCAAGGCCAAACCCGAATCCGATTAAGCTTGGCCAAAATTTCTCTAGGTTATTTGAGCCATCCAAATAAGCTCCAACATTAAAAAATTATTATTTTTTTTGAATTTGGGTCTAAATTTTCAGGCGGGTTAGAATTGACCCGTCGGTTTTGGTCTAAATTATTAATTCTATATAAAATTTAGTTACATTTTGTTTATAAATATTAGCTTTCTACGGCCCTGTTTGTTGTTTTCAGTATTTGAATTACCATAATATGTACTTTGTTGTTTTAAATCCAAGTGTCATTATGTGGGGAGAAACTTTTTCAGTATCATTTCACTAAATAAATTCACCAAAAAATTATTTTTTGGTCCTTTCATTTTCAAAACGTGAAATTTTGATGAGAAATTTAGCATACGGCAGCAAATAGGCCAAACTTTTTGAGGACGACCTAGTGCATGATGAACTAAATGATTAACTTATTATTATATTATTTTTAGATAAGTAAAATATGGTTTTAGATCAAATGCATTGTTTAAATTTATAAAATTTTATGAATTTGAATTTGATTTAAATTCAAGTAAATTGTTATAGCTCCTTTAAAATGTCAAACACTTAACATATATTATTTATTTTAAATATCAACCATCATCTTCCAATACTATACAAACTGTTGGATAAATCATATAAGCAAGATAACTTATTTTTATTGTTATGGATTTCTATACTGCTAGAACAAAGAAATTTTAAATATATGAATTTTAAAATTAAAATTAAAATTTATTAATTAATTC